CATCACTTGGATGGGGAAGCTCCTTAGCCAGTTTCACTGCTTGCGGCCCGCCAGGAAATAAACGTATACCTTCCTCTAATGCGATTACATAAAGTTGCAAATTTCCCCGATGACTAAGTGAAGGAAATGTCACAGGTTCTGCATACCGCCAAAGCCCCCGACGGTTACCGTAATCTACATAACCTTCCTCAGAAGTATCGTATTTAAACGGCACGTAAGCAGTTAATACTCTATATCTTGATATAATAGCTCCGAGGCCGTAAAATTTCTCGTTAGGTTTCTGAAGGCCAATCTTAACAGTTGCTCTTTTATAGTCTGTATTAAAACTGACTGTTTTTTCAAGTGCTTTTATCCACCCGTAAGCGCCGGATAGGCCAGCACAAGTGCGCGGGTACGAAGAATTGCACGTTTGGCTCGTATGATCGCCGACTAAAGCAAAAAACATACCGTTACATACAAGCCCAGCACTGCGTGAATAATACTCGCAATGATTAAATTTGCAAAATTCTTTTGGAATCCTTATGCACATATTATCCTCATCTAGTTTCGGGTACTGTAATTTGCAATCTCCCTGATCTAAAACTTCAACTTCCCTTTCAACTATTTTGCTCGATTGATGATGTTTATCTCCACCAACAACTACACACTTGTCGTGATTGCGATATGGATAACGCGTCCACCGAATAGGAGACGCGGATGTAGAATTAAGCTTTATTTCCTCTTCTAAAAATATGTATGCAAGTGGCGTAAATGAGGGCGAGCGAATAGATCTGCTTTTATAAGTTTGGATGCCCCGTGATTTTATTATATTTGGTAATTTACTACTTGTTGAAACGGGAGCCTCTATATTACCATATTTTACGTAACAAGTCCAATATTCGCCTCTATTAACTTGGTGGCTCGTTAATACTGCATCTTTTGATATTATAATTCCAAAATTTGTTAGTCCGCGACCAGAATCACTTTCGCGGCAATTCATCCTAACAAAATGTTTCGCCAATGGCGAATCGGAGTCGCTTTGGAATTTACTTAAATCGTCAACGCATTGGGTTAAAACATGCTGACAGTTGGCGATTATAATAATGATCCCAAGAAAGAATTGCAAGTTTTTTAACATTTTTTCAAGCAACAAACGAAAAAAAAAAGATTAAAATAAATCAATTTTCAAATTATACGTAAGTAAGATTTTAAAACCAAAGTCAGTTCGGTAAAAATAAAAATATATATGTTATGTCAAGATTTCAAATGTTTTCTTCAAAATTTTCTCGTCTTTTGCCTTTTTCTAATGATATGTTATATGTATATTATGTATGTGTGTGCGTTTTGTAGTATTATAATATATATTTTAATATATTGAGCATTGTGTTGTGTGTTTTTTGGAACGGAAATTTCTTGAGCGGACCACTAGCAAAACAAATCCCACACATTGTACACCCCGGCCGCCGAATTCCTATAGACCCGAAAACGTTTAACTTTCTTTTTCTGATACAAGCTATGGTCAAACAACGTAATGAGAATTAAAGATAGCACGACGAGCGCGTACTAAATCAGGCGTGTGTGTAGTATCGACCCCAAGCACCATTTGGCCCCATTTTCAAAATCTGAATTATTTTAATTGATTTATTACTATTATTATTATTATTTTGTTTTTAAACTCAACTCAGCGATTTATCTGTACGTAGTAAAGAAATTTTTACACCACCGTAGAACCATGGTAGAGTTTTTTGATTTTTGTAACGCTTAAAAGTATGCAAAAGACTATTAAGTCAATATATTCATTCTTGATTAGCGCAAAATTGTCGGGATTTTGGCGAATTCATTTGCCGCGGTCAAAGGTCACTCTTTTTCCGAACCGTTGATCTTAAAATTATCAATTTTTTAGTTTAAAGCTCTGAGCTAGATTTAAAATTTTTCTATATTAAAATGCAGATATCAAATTCAGCAATAAGCTAACTCGGCCAAGCGTTTCAAGTGAAATTACCATAAACCGGTACAATATTTAAGACAGATGAACCAGGTGAAATTAATTTTTGGTATAAAAATACATTTCGAAATATAAACAAGAGACTCTTATACGACGTCTTATCTGTTGAGTGACCTTTGTTTTTATTTCGCGATCTAATAGTGAGTATTAAAATTTCTATCCAATTTTTTTGTAATTTTTTTTCAGCTGTCTACGACGACTCTCTAATCTTAAGCCCATAGCGAGTGTTCTGGAATATCGCAGGAAAATCGCGAATGCCCAACAAAAACTCTTTTCAATTACGAAAGTTATTGAGCGACTTTCACTGATTCGATCATTCGATTATTAATAGCACAATAAGTAAAAGCAAAGTTACGATTTTGAGTGGACTTGCTGGCCTATTCGTCGGTTTCGTCTCATCGAAATTGTTAAAACTACAAGCGCTTTCATATAATGTTAAGTCATTTATATTCTTCGAACACATTTTTCGATTAATTTAGAAAAAGAAAGCAATGCTTCTATTATCACGCCCACTGCAACAGCAATAAAATTAAAAGCATTTGAAAAAAGAGATGAATATTCCGGTATCAGACATTATGAAGAAATTTCGCTAGCTGTCTGTCAGATGGCAAGCAAAACTCGGCCCGCGCTTCGATGAGACCCGATGGTCTCATGTAATGGCATTCGTCCGATGACTAAATCAGATTATTTTTTGCCTTTCGCCCAGAAATTCCAGGTGGCCAAGAAAAACCTTTTATTGCTTGACAAAGAGATTTTGCGCTTAAAAGGGCAAAATGGGTTAAGTCAACTCTTTTCAGCTAATCAAATCTTGAACGCATATTTGGCTAATACCTGAACTTTCTTGAGTACTTATCCCTTTGATAGAGATGAGTGATAAGGACAAAAACAAATTTTATTTATTATTAATATTATTATTATTATTATCATAAATTTAGCCAGAGACTAAATTCTAA